ACTATATAAATAACAAAACCATAGAAAAACTTAAAAGACAAATATAATAATATTCAAGTTTCTTTACATAACAAAACAGGAATTTTAAAAAGTACTGTTGAAAAAAGAGATCCACATTCTTAAAGGTAATAATTTGCCTTTAATCTGCCTAATATATTATTTTCCCTGTAGAAATGCAATTATTATCCTGAAACAAGACTATACTAGAAAGTAAATGTGTTGTGACCACAAAAAGAAAACCTAGGTAGATCATTACTAAAACAACCCACGTGACCTGGCCGAGTGGCATGGCAAAAGCTTATCAGAGCATGCCTCTCCTACCCAGAGAGCAGTGAGGGCATGGACAGACAGCCTGGTTCATTTGTGTCATGCTTCCTGAGAGGCAAAAAGTTAAGAACCATTATTCCATGGCACAATGATTCCGACATGCCTATAAAATAATATTCAAGTTCATTACCAGGCATCTGGGCCACCAACATTGGCTATACTCTAACTTTCCCACCACTCTCCACTCAGTGAAGCCTGAAACTGTTCCCTCTGCCCAGAACATCTTCTCCCCTCCTCTCTCTGAGCCTTACATAACAAACGGAATTTTAAAAAGTATGTTGAAAAAAGATCCAATTCTTAAGTAATAATTTGCCTTAATCTGCCTAATATATTATTTCCTGTAGAAAATGCAATTATTTCTGAAACAAGACTATACTAGGAAAGTAAATGTGTTGTGACCACAAAAAGAAACTAGGTAGATCATTACTAAACAACCCACGTGACCTGGCAGTGCATGGCAAAAGCTTATCAGAGCATGCCTCTCCTACCAGAAGCAGTGAGGGCATGGACAGACAGCTGGTTCATTTGTGTCATGTTCCTGAGAGGCAAAAGTTAAGAACCATTATTCCTGCACAATGATTCGACATGCTATAAAAATATTCAAGTTCATTACAGGCATCTGGGCCACAACATTGGCTATACTCTAACTTCCACACTCCACTCAGTGAAGCCTGAAACTGTTCCCTCTGCCCAGAACATCTTCTCCCCTCCTCTCTCTGAGCCCACATCCTACCCAGCTTTTAATGAACTCTTCAAGGCCTACTTCTCTAAGATGTTCTTCTTCCAAAACTGGCATTATTTACTATAGAATTATTGGCCTCCTAAGTCATCTTTTGTCTTAGATTAAGTACATCATAGAAGATGCTTATCTATGAAAAAACAAATTTTCATCAACAGCTAAAACTGAGCAATTTTTCTTTTTCATCTATCACTTTGATTTTTCCTAACTCATCTTTCAGAATTGTTAGCAATTCTGGAGATAACCTTCTTAGTCTTAGTTTCAGTAATTCCAAATTATTTCCTGAAGAGTTTGAGCCTCCTCCCAAATTATTTAGGAAGATTCTTAATCATAAAGATATGACTAAACCAAAAAAAAAAATCCGTACTTGAGAAGAAAATTATATTAAAAGAATGAATTCTAGAAGAGGTTGCTCCTTGCCAAGGCAATTTTATATTCTCCTTCCTTTCTCCTTCTACATTATCTGTGTAGACATGTAATCCCATAACTCAAAGCAGTTAAACTTTTTAAATAAAATACAAAGTAATTTAATAGAGCAACTACATAATTAAAACAAGTGTGCAGGCAGGCGCCAGTGGCTCACATCCATAATTCTAGCTACTCAGGAGGCAGAGATCAGGAGGATCAGTTCGAAGTCAGCCCAGGTAAACAGTTCATGAGATCCTATCTCAAAAAAACCCATCACAAAAAAAGGGCTGGTGGCATGGCTCAAGGTGTAGGCCCTGAGTTCAAGCCCCAGTACCACAAAAAAGAAGGCAAAAAAAGTGTGCCACCACCACAAGTACCCCCATCCTCTAAAGCTATCTCCTATCTGCTAACAGATTATGTTCTTAATCTGCTGTCAGATCAGATGTTTGAAATGCAGAACAGGGTTTCCTAAGGAAACAGAATTAACAATAGGGGCTGTTGAGAAAATATAAGATGATGAAAACAAGTTACAAGTTATATATATTTATAAATCTCAAGTGTAAGTTTTTAAAAGCACATTGTAAGTCTATAATCTCATTTTTATAAAATGCAAATATCGCTATTAAATATTTTGCATAAAAAGAAATAAAATAGTAAAAGTGAGTATCTCTTTCCCAAAGAAATAAAATAGTAAAAGTGAGTATCTCTTTCCCAAAGAAATAAAATAGTAAAAGTGAGTATCTCTTTCCCAAAACTCTGTGACATCAAATCTAATCACCAGGAAAACTTAAGACAAGTCAAGCAGAGGCGCACTCTATAGAATACCTGCCCTGTACCCTTTAAAACTGTCATGGAAACAAAGTTGGGAAGACTAACACAGCACAGAGGAAACCAACAAATGACAACAACATGCTGTTCTGTATAGATTCAGGAACAAAATGAAGACATTCATGGAAAAACAAGCGAAATCCAAAGTCTAAAAACTAGGTAACAGTCTTCTAAGCAGTCACAAAGGAACATCAAAAGCCAGAACCCCTAACTGCTTAAACCTCAAGCAGTCTCCAGCAGTCTTATTCTAGTACATGCCCTGATAATACTGAGAAGCACTCAGAGGGCACCAAGACTGTACACACTGCCTACCTAATAAATACTGGCTGAGTTGAATCTTGGAATAGTCCATCTGGTCCCCTTCACCCACACTCCCCAAGATCCACCTACCACACGCTCACATGAACATTTTCACTAAACATGTTCTAGTAATCTTTTTACTAATTACCTGTCTATTAGCTGGTTAAACTTGCCTTACCAAGCCCACATCAATAGTTTATTGCATAATAAGCCACAGGATATGAACAAACACAACTCAAACAGTTAAATTCAACATTATAGATCAATGAGATGAAATGTCATTTTACACCTGAAAAGTTCTCATTTATTACTAGCAAAAAAAGTTTGAGGAAAAAATGCATTTCTGTCTAACTTACGATGAAACAGGTACATCCATACATCTGCTAGGATTACAAACTGGCATAATACTCTTGAAAATAGTATAATGTACATCAAAAGCTAAAAACATACATATCCTTTAGCAATAATAAGGTACTCCAAAACTTATCCTAGAGAAAAAAATCAGTCAGGAAAAAAAAAAGACAATAACATCCACATGATGAAGTGTTAACAGAAAACCAGTCAACAGTGGTAACTAATATAAAAAAGATTTAGGTAAATTATGGGAGCATGACTACATGAAATTGTTTTTGCAACCTTTCCTCATAAATGAAAATTATGAAACTTGTAACATGGAAATGTTTTATCATTTGATAAATTTTTAAAATATCACATTACTATATACCATACTAAAAATGAATTAAAAGTATCTATTTTGAGGGCTGGGGATGTAGCTCAGTGGTATAACGCTTGCTTAGCATGCACAAGGTCCAGGGGTTCAATCCCCAGCAGCAAAAAAAGAAAAGACAAAATAGTATCTATTTTGAAATGGAATTCCAGAAAGGAAATCAACTGTTTTAGGGTAATAAACCCAATTTAACAATTTATTTAATATCATCTCCAACAAACCTCAAAATGCATGCCATTTTGTCACAGTAAAATCTGTGGGAGTCTCAAGGCCAAGGTGCTGACTCAGCAGTCGGCTGTATCAGTTAAAAGGCAATATAGATTCATGAACCAATCAAACAACTAGGGTCCAAAAGACCTGGGTACAGTTAAAATACAAAGTATTTGCCAGGCACCAGTAGCTCATACTTGTAATCCTAGCTACTCAGGAGGGAGAGATCAAGATCAAGATCAAGGTTCTAAGCCAGCCCAGGCAAATAGTTCACAAGATCCTATCTCAAAAACACCTAACACAAAAAGGGCCGATGGAATGGCTCAAGGTGTAGGCCCTGAGTTCAAGCCCTGGGATCACAAAAAAAAAAAAAAAAAAAAAAAAAAAAGGATGATCGAGATTCGAAGCAAGCCAGCCTGGACAAATAAGTTTGTGAGACCTTATCTCCAAAAAACCCTTCACAAAAAAGGGCTGGTGGAGTGGCTCAAGTGCTACAGCACCTACCCAGCAAGCACAAGACCCTGAGTTCAAGCCCCAGTACCTCAAAAAAAGAAATGGGTTTAGAGCTGGGGATGTAGCTCTGTGGTAGAGCTCGTACCTAGCATGCTCTAGACCCTGGGTTCAATCATCAGTACCAAAATGAAGAAATGAATTGTAGTGCTAATGCCCCATAAGGATGGTATTAAAACAGTCTTCCAGAGGCTGGGGACGCAGCTCTATAGAGCACTTGCCTTGAATACACAAGACTTTGAGGTCAATCCACAGCTCTGGGGGGGAAAGTCTTCCAACTTTTTCTGTAGCATTTTCATTTTCTAAGTTTAATATCAAAGACCAAGACAATATAATTGGCTGAGAAGACTGATTACTCTAAAATAATAAGCAGTGGAAACCAAATAAACTGTCTTTAATTAGTAGGCACTTCAGCAAAAGATAAATAATTGGAAGGGCTGCTAGCATAAATGGAGCCAGTGCGACCATCAGAAAAAAGTCCAACCTTCTGTTTGCACTGATTATGTTCTCGGTGTTTAGATCCTCAAAAAGGTGCATATACACAAGTCATTCGTGAACCAACATACATAGGAGATAAAATGCAAACAATCCAATATTTAACCAAGTTCATCAGAGCACAGGGTGATTGCCACTCAAGAATATTGACACGAAAGTTCCAATCACACAGGACAAAAGGAGCCTGTGTGCAGTTACTCGCTCAGAACAGAAGTGGAACATTAACCTATCCTCACTTCTCTCCAAACTATTCTGACAGAGCAGCAAGCAGTCTCTTCAGAGTTTGTTCCCCATCCAGGCTATTGCAGAAGTCCCACATTCTCAGGTTACCACTGTTTCACACAGCCCTACATCACCCAGTCCCACCTCATCCTTTCTCTCCACACATTCTTGTCACTTTTTCAGGCACCACAAGGTTTTTGTTTTCTATATGCTGCTCTCCTAAACCTTACTCACCTGCAGTTCACTGCACTGGGTATCACCCAAATAGCCCATCAGAGCTCTTTATAATTTCTGAAAGAGAAAGAAGGAAGCTTTAAATACTTAGTAGAAAACACCATTGATTGTTAGATGTGGTGGTACATGCCTGTAATCCCAACCCTTGGGAGGCTGAGGCATAAGGACAGCAAATTAGAGGCCAGCCTGGCCTACATAGCAAAACTCTGTCTCAAAGTAAAAACAAATCACTGACTGAAGCATCTGTGTCCACTATTCATAGCATCTGGTCTGTCAGTCCCCAGCATTCAATCAAACAGAGCACAACCAGCAGTGAACCTAAAATCCTGAGACAAGCCTCTAGAGAGAAAAAGCCTGCTTTAATGTTGCTACTACTGAGCTGAGTGACCCTGGGTAAGTCAATTTCTGTAGGTCTATGTTTCCTCTTCTGGAAAATAAGAAAACTAAACTTAACTGGAGATAGCAGAGCAAGGGCTTTCCAGAAAAAGCACAGTTCCACTACTTCCCTGGTCTTGTGACTTTACATTAGTTAGTTCACATTCAAGACTAAATTTCCTCCTTTGCAAAATGGAGATAACAATGTCTTATGAGTTGTTACGAGAACTAAAGGAGATGATGAGTTATAAAAAGCCCATAGTAAATACACTGTGCAGCCTATCATAAAATTTAACAGATGGTAACTCATTACCACCATTCCCCACCCCCAAGACTACATGAATTCAATTCACAAGCATTGCTTTAAAAGGTCAACAAATCAAAACTTTACCCGCCTAACCACAGAATTAGTTGTCTGAGTGTTTAACAATTCAATTAGTTATCTTAAACTGGTGGCAGTTTGAGATTATCACTGTTTCTTAACATCACAGCAAAAAAGAGGAGTCCCTGCACATCCCAGCTCCAGCTCAATCACCATGCCTCCATGACCCCTAATTCTACTTTCACTACTGCCAGTTCAACCTGGGGACTGAGAGTCTTCAAAAAGTTAAATGACACCCAGCTATTTACCATGGTCACAGCACATGGGAACAGAACTAGAGACGGAAGAACAGCAGAAGCCTTTTAAAAAATTTTTAAATCTTTTTTTACTTTATATACTTAAGTACTACTTAAATCAGTTTGCCATAAGCACATGTGATCTTTGCATAAAAAAAACTTTTTAAACTGTATTAGTCTGACATATTGCCCACTGACAGGAAGCTTGTGTTATGGAAATATTTCCACCACTAGGAAAATTTCCACAGAAGATAAAGAGGCAAATTCAGGGATGCCAAAATATTGCACTGAAATAAAAATCACAACCGTTCAATGCTTAAGAATGGGTCAGTCAAAAAATATACCATTCATTCTTTGAAGACTCTGATGATGAATTTTTTATTCAAAAGCAAGATGAATGTATAAACTCTGGTTTTACCAGACAACTTCCTGCTGTTACTTAGAGAAACTGACCCAGTACAATGTATAAGAGTACACAAGTTGGTATGACTATTATTGAGGTTGTAAAACTTTCCGTTTCTTTTAGACAACTGAAAACTTACCAAAATAATTAATTTATATGTACATAAAATGTATGTAACATTCACTTGTATATACTGCACATACATAAATATATAAGCCTTCATCTTACATCTATAACAGCCTTAAGACAAAGAATATTAACAATTCGGGATTACTCAAAAGCATTATCCCAGCTCCTTGGAATGGTAAGAGCTTCATCTAGCCAATGCTGTAGGACATTGACACATCCTGACACATCCATGAACTGAACTGTGAGCTGACGTGGCACACTCTCCACGTTATACTTGCCTTCTAGAAATCATTTCAAAACATTACTTAGAAATCCACTTACATTGCAAGTGCTTTTACCTAAGTGTATGAAAATAAACAATCCTAAAATTTGCTTATAATATTTAAGTAGTCCAGCCCCTCTCTTATTATTATTATTATTATTGAGAAACGTGGCCCAAGATCTCCCATACATTTGAAACACCAGGCAAAGGACTTTATTTCTTGTACTGGGCATGCATTTGGAACTTAAATATAGCCTGACAGACAATTATGGACTAATCTGCATTCAACATTAATATTCAATATTAATGCCAAGTCTTCTTCTTAAACAGAGAACACAGATGCATTTGTAAGATCCATTTACTCGTAGGTCCCACTACACTATTCTTACTCTTTCATGAATGTGCTGTAAATTTTTTAAATTACACAAGACCCTCTGCAAAAAGGAATGATTTCTCCTGTTATTCTGGCATCACTCCCTTTCCCAGTGAAAGGGAACAACTGCATAGAGACTTTGAGACAATGAAGATTGAATATTTATATGATTAGAAAATGAAACTTCTTACTAACAACCACTAAAAACAAGTTTCCCAGCTGATAGAGAGGTCAGGACTGTACTTACTGTCTCCCAAAAAAATACAACCTTACCTAAAAATAGTGTCCTAGCTTCCCAGCCAAAAGGACAGACTAAAAAAGCCATGCCTTTATTCAGCTCAAAGACACAGACTTCTACTCCACCACAACCTCCAATACGATGGTAATTCCCACCCTAGGACACTGGGTAACAAGTTGTTTGTAAAGTGGCCAACCTCTCACTTCATTTGTCTGCATGCATAAAAACTCCGTGACACAGTTCAAGCCAATCAACATTAACTACACACAATTACATGCATCTAAATATTCAATTTTAGACTATAAGTGAATCTCTCCATAGGCAAAAAAGGTAGATCACTAGTTTCAAAAACAAGATAGAAGTTCAAACTGGAGGTCTAAGGTATGAATACGCTTCCATCTGCAAAGTGAAAATAAATTTAAAAGCTCATAGTATCTTCTAAGAATGAAAATTTGAATTATATTTAATACACATTAGCAGTTTAGAGTCTCAACACAAGCCAATGTGAGCTGTAAACTTACAAAAGAATCTAGGTCTATGTCCACCTTCCTTTCTCAAGGCTGTTTTCCGTACGTACGTACGTGCGTGCGTGCGTGCGTGTGTGTTAAAGGCAAAATATCAATTACATGCCGCAATCCAGAAAAAAAAAAAACACCATAGCTTATTTTTAAAGATGTTGTACTAGATATGAAAAGTTTGTGAGATTTCAAAATCCAAAGGCCCAAATGTATTAATGAAAAAAGAGAAAAAAATACCTGTCATACCAATTAATTGACCATAATTGCTTACCTTTTTCTAAAGCAATCATAGTAAGATATGTTAAGAATGTACACAGCAAACTCCTCCCTGTTCCTTGCACAGAATACAGGCTGCTCACTAACACCACTATCAATAATGTCTAGGTCCAAAACATTACACGTTAGAGTAAATAAAACAATACTGCTTTCTTTTTTCTTTTCTTGGTGGGGCTAGGGTTTTGAATTCAGGGCTTCACATTTGCAAAGCACCTCATCCATAAATAAAGCAGTACTCTGAATTTACACACCATGTATGACCAGAAAACAATGACAAACTAGTTTTAGCCCTAATAAGTTCAACACTATCATTTTTATTTCAATAATTGTTAGAGACATTTACCATTCCATTTTTTTAGAAAATAAAAGGGGCTGGGGATGTAGTTCACTGGTAGAGGGCTTCCCTAGCATGTGTAAAGCCCTGGGTTCCATTCCCAGTACTGCAAAATAATAATAATAATAAATTAAATAGAATAGGAGTGATTGACTTGCCTAAAAAATCATTTTCAACAGAAAAGAGTGTACTTTAAAAGAGTCTCACAAACTGAACACACAAACTCCATAAACACAACCACTAATACTCAATGCAGAGAAAACAGTGGCCATCGAAACATAAAATGAAGACATCCAATTAAAGTTACACAAGAAAATTTGAAGAGGCAAACTATAATTACCCATGGAGAAGACACTGATCAAGGATAGCTGCAAATAACATTTGGCTCTGGAGAAGCTCCACTATGTTTGAATATGTTGGAGCCACTAAAGAGATTAATAATACATTTGACTTCTTTTTCCTTTCTAAATCTAGCCTTGCCCAGACCCCATTTGAATGAGCAATATATTTGGAAAATAAAGATGGCCCCACCAAACTCCTTCATTTCAGTCTTATCTTTTATAAGCTGATGACAATGAAGAAGGAAAACAAGAGAAATCATTTTAACTTCATCCTCACCTTACACATCTCACCAGCACTGTAGTTCATGAGTGACCAATTACTTCATCCAATTCCTGAGGCAAATAGAAAAATAATATGTCTATGTAATACCAGTAACAGACATTATCAATGGCAAACATTTTATCAGCCTGAAGTAAAAAAACAAGCAAATTCCCAGTGGAAAAAGTTACAAAAATGGTACAGGACATGCAGTTTTGCAAATGAATGTTTCTTTTACCTTAAAATGAAAACATTCATTTCTGTAAAAGAGTAGATTGTAAAATACTTAAAAGTCCAAGACATAATAAAGCATTTTTTAGCACTGATTAACCTTACTTTCCCAAAAAAAAAAAAAAAAAAAAAAGGGGGACTGGCGGTGTGGCTAAACGGATAAAGTGTCTACTTTGCGCAAAGCCCTGAGTTCAAACCCCAGTCCCCACCAGGAAAAAAGAGAGAAGAAGCTTCATCAATATAAGAGAGCAAAAATAAGGCCGAACTAGCCACGGTAATGCCTCCCTGCAGTCCCCCATTCCAGGAATCCACTATCGCTGGAGTTAAGACTTTTTATTCCATTAATGACTTGCTTGAAAAAGTGCAGGGGAAGAGGAATAACAAGGTTCGAGTTGCAAACAAAAACCTAAGGATCCCAATCCAAGAAGACCCTGGCTTCTAGCCCTGTCTGAAGGATCCTCAGCAAAGGCCTGAGAGGGGTATGGGGGGGATAGTGGAGGAGGGACACAAGGTTCAAATAATTTGGGGGTGGGGGGTAGGATCCAAAGTTCCGAGGTCTACCGGGGCAATCTCCGAGCTCCTTAAGAGAGGACCCTGGAGGAAATCTCCAGGAAGAAGGTCTGTTTTGATTTTTGTTTCTGTGCATGTGGGCCAATGAGCATTTCTGAAGGGGGGGCGGGGAAAGGGGGACTAGAGTGAACCTCTGGCCCCGGGCCCTGCGAGGGGGAGGGGGCGCACCCCTGACCCACTTTTCCGGCCGTTCACCCTCCCCCAGTGTCCCCCGCCCTACGCGGGTTCGAGTCCGAGCCCCGAGGGCGTAAGAGAGCGGGGCGTGGGAGGCCAGCACGCTCCCCACCCCCAGCCGCGACCCGGAGGAGCGAAGCGTGCTGGGAGGAAGGAGGCTCGGTTCCCGCTCCCGCTCCCCGGGCGGCCCGGCCGCGGCGGCCTCCCCCGCAGACTTAGGGCCTGGGGGTGCAAGGCCCCCCGCCTCGGCCTAGGTTCCGGACGCTGCGGCCTCCAAGCGAAGGGGAAGGGGACCAAGGAAGAGAAGCTATAAACAGCCCCAGCGTCCGGGCCTCGCCTCGAAGAGTCCCGCTTCCCAGGCCCCACGCCGGCCACCCGAGTCCCCGGCCCGCCCCGCTTGGGACTCCGGACACCGCAGGAGTGTCGGGGGTCCCTCTTCAGAGAGCTCCAGCGGTCGGTGGAGCGGCCCCGGCAGCAGGGAAGGGGGAAGTCAGGACTTACCTGTCATTACTTTCTACGCCATCTTGGATCCACTTGTCAACGTCCCCACAAAGCATTATGGGTAAGAAAGAGCCTTTAAAGTGACTCCCCCGCCCCCCCACCCCAGCTCGGCCCCCGACTCCCGCCTCCCGCCGCCGGCGCCGCCCCCTCCGGCCGCACCTCCCGCCGGAAAGTTGCCCCGGGTGGTCTGCAGGCCCCCGCGAGTTTGCATGGAAAACCAGCCCGTTTCTACCATGTGGGTTTTCTCTTCCCTCCCGGCCCAAGCCTCCCTTCCCCCACCGTGGCCTCCACGCCGGTTCCTTTGGCCCCGCCGCCCTCTGGCCCTGGCAGACGGACACCCCACGTCTGCATTCAGTCGGCCCGAGGTTTCCCGGCCGCTGGCTGGCTGGCCGGCGGCGGGCGGCCCCGCTGATTGATGGATGGATGCGCACGCATGGGAGCGTCCCAGCCCCGGGTCCTCCGCGCTCCGCGCGGGCTCCGCCGGCCGCGCTTCCCGCCCCCCGGCAGCCGCGCGGGGTCGCCTTCCCCGCGCCGCCGTCCGTCCCGCACGCCGCTCCCGTGTCCCCGCGGCCGAAAAGAAGATGTCCCAGGAAGCCTCTCCCCGGCCGTGGGGGGTGGGGGGCTCCGGGAACTAAGCGGACCCCGTGTCCCCGGGCGAGCCAGCCAGCCGTCGAAGTGCAATGGGGGGGATGGGGAGGTGGGGAGAGAGAATAAGCTAAATGCAACTTTTACCCCCTGTTGACTCAGCCTGTCGCCGTCTCCTCTCGGCCGGTAATGTGATCCGCGACCCTCTAAGGTGGGCGACCCCTCCCCTAGGAATGTAGCTTTGGGCTCTGCGGGTTCCAGCCAGCTAAGAGTCCGGGCAGCGGACTGCGACTTCCCGGGGCAGGTAACTCCCAAGAGCCAGCTCGGGGCGGGGCCCGGGGAGGGTCCCCGGGAGGGTCCGGGGCAGGGAGAAGGGTGTGCCCGCACCGGTCCCACTGCCCAGTTCCTGCAGGGCGGTGAATCCTGGCGGCGCGGCCGGGGGTGGAGCGCGGGCGCTGCGCTGACTTGGGACGGGGGGAGGGGGATGCGCAGAGTTGGCCCCGAGGCGACCCGGCCACAGCCGGCCGGGGACCCAGGCGAGCGTGCAGCGGACCTCTCTCCCCGCCCTCCCGCCCTCTTAGGTTGCGCGGGCCGGCACGCTCGCGCAGGTGACCCCTGACTTCCTGGCGCCCTGCCTCCCAGGTCCCCCCAGAAGGGGATGTCCGTTGATCAACATCACACGTTTCCCAGAGCCTCCGCCGGTGTTTGCATGGATGACCTTGGGGGACCTCCTCAGGCTACTTTCTCCACCCCACCCTCCAGCAAAATATGCTGTACAAAAAAAGTGTCCAAAATAAAATCCTCTAAGACTTTCAGGTAGAGCCCGTGCTTGGCACGCGCAAGGCCCTGGGTCCAATCCCCCCTCCAAACACACACACACTATGTATATATAATGTGTGTATTATCCTCCAAGACATCAACGCTAACGCAACTGTGTTCGATAGGAAATGCTGTGGAGTGGCTCAGCGACTAGAACTCATCAACAACCCATCCCCTCCTTTCAATACACGGGGAGGACCTTGGTCTACCGTTTTAGGCTCCTCCAAGAGCCTATCAGAGCCTCTCGAGGAACCTGGATGGTAGCAGACAAGCCCTGCCCCCGGGGAGCCAAAAACTCCACCAGGCAATTGTCTCTGTTAAGAGAGAAGGGTGAGGCGTGGACTAGTTGAGGGATTGGCCTCCGGGTCACTCTTGTGGGAGGCTGCAGGTGAGTCATTCCCAGCCGGCTGGGAGAGGCGTGCAGGGGTGGAGTCACCGTTTCTCAGCTCCTGAGTGACTCCCAAGAACTTGGGGAAGTGGACCAGGGAGCCAGGTTCTTAATGATTCCCAGGCTGGTAATCACGAGGGTCAGGAAGATGGTTGCTCCCAGACATCCCACTCCTGCTGGACTAAAAAGGCTCCAGTCACTCCTCTTCCAGCTCCCTGTTGCACTTACTTAGCCACTAGTATGCACTGGTTTATTGGTTGCCTTGTGTTTTACTTGACATTTAAGTTTGAGATCTGAACTTTCTTTTAAGTAAATGCCAATAAACTGAGGGCAAGGACTCTACCTGCCACATCTGCTTCTTTGGTAGGTAGTTTTTCGCCTTGCAAAGGTCTTGACCCAAAGAAATGCTTAATGTGACTGCCTGACCCATTCACTGCCTCCAGTATGTGTCCTGGCCTATCCTTATCCAAGACACCACCTGTTATCTGAGCGTAACTCCTCTGCCCCTTACAGAAGTCTGTTTTCTGTCTGACCAATGCAGTGACATTTCTGGAATGTAAATCAGATCATGTGATTCCTCCCCTTCAGCCTACTAGAGGCTTCCCCATCACACCTGAAATAAAACTCCAAATTCCCACCCATGACCTACAAGCTCAGCGTAAAGTGGCCTACCTTCCCTTCTCCCTCTGACATTTCTTCCCCTACAGCACCCCACACTTTCTTCCAAGGAGAATCATGTTCCCCCAGATGGGCATTTTTTCATCAGTCAGATCTCAGCTCAGATGTTACCTCAAAAAGGACCTTTGTGGGATGGCAGGGTGGGCTCAAGTGGTAGAGCACCTGCCTAGCAAGCATGAAGCATCTACCCTAAAGAACATAAGACAGGATACAGCAGAGACACCTGTACACCGATGTTCATCACAGCACTATTCACAATAGCCAAGTTCTGGAAACAACTCAGATGCCCTACAACTGATGAATGGATCAAGAAATTGTGGTATATGTACACAACAGAGTATTACTCAGCCACAGGAATAATGACATGTGTTTTAAAGTAAATGGATGCATTGGAGGACAACATGCTAAGAGAAGTTAGCCAGGATCAGAAACACAAAAGACACGTTTTCCCTCATATGGTGAAGATGGATCCAAAGAAACATATACACACAAACAAGCATGACTATATACAAACAGATCTAGAACATGCTTGTAACAGTGGAGCTACTCTATGGAACTCAGGGAAAGGAAAAAAGAAAGCATCAGTAATATCAAATAACATAAGATGTGAAGGTAGAGGATATAAAGATGATGTGTACTGAAAGCTGTTGAAAAACAGCAAGGGGATACAGGAGATAAAGGGGTAAGGGAGAGCTATCGAAGGGATTAAACAGCCCATAGTAAAGCACACCCACAGTGGGCATACATTGAGACACCCCTTTAAACGTCATCTTAAATATTAATAAAAACTAGAACTGTAAAATAGGCACAGTGGGGGTATACTAGTGGGAAGGGGGAGGGTGAAGGAAGGAGATTAAAGTGAGGATATATGGTTGATGGACTTCATATACCTATGTGAAACAGAACTAAAAAACCTCTTGCAATTGCTTTGGGTGGGGTGTGGAGGGGGTTCAGGGGAAGAGACAATGGGGAAAATGTAAATAATGTACAATGTAAGTCTGATCAGAATTGTCACTTTGAATCCCCTCTGTGTAATGAATATATCCTAATAAAAATTTATAATAAAAAAGGACCTTTGTGATTCCGTTAAGCAAAGCAGACCACTTTATACTCACCCTGTGTTAGAATTTTTTTTTTTTTTTTGGCAGTACTGGGGTTTGAACTCAGGACCTACACCTTGAGCCACTACACCAGCCCTTTTTGTGTTGAGTTTTTTTCAAGATAGGGTCTCTCAAACTGTTTGCCCACACTGGCTTTGAACCAAGATATCCTCCTAATCTGCTTCCTGAGTAGCTAAGATTACAGGCTTGACCACACTTTTTTTTTTTTTTTTTTTTTTTTTGCGGATCTGGGGCTTGAACTCAGGGCCTTCAACTTGAGTCACTCCATCAATACTTTTTTGTGATGGTATTTTTAAATAGAGTCCCCGAACTATTTGCCCGGGCTGGCTTCGAACCATGATCCTCTTAATCTCTGCCTCCTGATTAGCCAGGATTACAGGTGTGAGCCACCAGTACCCAGCTAGACTATTCTTGCTTATCTACTTGTTGTTTATTATCTGTGCATTAGAGTACAAGCTCCCTAAGGGCACAGTTTCCTCTAACTTGTTCCTCTTAGTGCCTAGACCAGGGCCTGGGACCTAAAAGATGCTTAGTAAATATTTGTGGAGTTGACCAAACTGTTACCAGGGCAAGGGGGTGCCCCTGAAAGGGGGTGTGGAAACCTGAAGTCACCTCGCCTTCATCTCTTCACACCGCTGGGACCTTGTACAGCTGGGGGCTGGGAGATAGGAAGCTTGTTGGGGAAAAGCAGTACTGCCCTTCACTTGGCTCTCTTCTGAGTCTACTCAGAGGAGCACAAGTAGTCCCACCTAAATTCCTCATCACATGCCTCTTCCCTCCTCTTCTTCCTCCTCACTCCTCATGGCCACACATACCATGTGAAGAACCCCAGGCTCAGTCCTTAGGTCTCTCTTCAGTTACAGTCTCCAACCATCTATTTCAGGGCTTCAGCTTCCATCTTCACCCTGAAGAATGAGTCCCAAACATCTTGCTTTCCTCTGGGCATCAGACTCTTATCCAACTACTTCTTGTCATCTCCACTTGGATCTCCCTTAGACACCTCAAACTTGGCATGCCCCAAGCTCATT